GCAGACTACGAGAATCTCAATACATTTTTCTTAAAAACCGATTTGTCGGAATTACAGAAGATTAGAAGAAAAAATTAAATACTTCTACGACACATTACAAGAAATGTTCCTGTGCACATAAACCAGATAATCCACAAAAAAAAACTAAAAAAGGCAGCACACTCATCTTAAAAAAAAATTAAACTAGACAGAACTACCAAAAATTCAGCGATCTCAGATGAATGTGCAAAACCCTCAGTACGTCGTGTTACAAAAACTATGTAAACAAAGTTGAACAACTGGTCCTCTCTGATTTAGAAAAATTTTGGAAGTTTGTTAGAAAAGAGCAACAGCAGTGATATTCCTACTAACCTAGTTTGGAATAATCGATCAGCCAACTCTGGAGTTGAAGCCAGTAATCTATTCGCAGCTTTCTTTGAGAGTGTATACCTACGGTGACTCAACCCCCGATGCCTTTCTTTACAACAAGTCAGAACTCACAAGAAAACCAGCGCACTTTAAATGACATAGAAGTCACAGTGGATGGTGTCAACAAGACACTGCTATCACTCAACACCAAGAAGGGTGCTGGACCAGACGGCATTCCTAATATATTTCTTAAAAACTGCGCTAAAGGGCTTAGTGAACCACTAACACACATCTACAACGCATCATTGCAACAGGGTATTTTTCCCACAGAATGGAAGCTGTCTTTCATCACTCCCATTCACAAGGATGGTCTTAGATCAGAAGTCTCTAACTATAGATCCATATGTATCCAGTCATCACTCGCGAAGATCTTTGAAAAACTACGTCAACTATATCCTGAACGCAATGAATAATGGATGCAAGGTACATGCTGTCTACACTGACTTTAGCAAAGCCTTCGACAGCCTTCCGTTCCCACGACAGTCGGGTCTACGAAAACCGGAACGGACCCGGATTTTTATCCGGCCAAGGACTGTCAACTCGGCAGAATTCTGCCGTTACAACAGCAACAACAGAGTCAACCATGACATCCTATTACAAAAGCTACATGAAATTGGTGTGCGAGGTAACGTACTAAAATGGATCAACTCTTATCTGGTTGGTAGAAAACTTCAAGTCAGAGTCGATGGCCAGCTATCATCTAACTATGACGTCAAAACAGGGGTACCACAGGGATCACACCTGGGACCTGTTCTCTTTAATATATTCATCCACGACATTGGCGTTAATTTCAGCTCGGAATACCTCCTTTATGCTGACGACCTTAAGCTTTACAGAAGAATCACAAACAGCTCAGACACCCAAGCCCTACAACAAGATATGGATCATCTCTCTACGTGGTGTATCAACAATAAGTTGGATCTAAATATAAAAAAGTGCGCTGTCATATCCTTCTCACGCTCACACACCAATACTCAGACAAACTATGAGCTAGCTGGAAATAAAGTCCCCGAAGTTGAGAACATCAAAGATCTGGGAATTATTATGGACCAAAAGCTCATCTTCACAAAACACATCGATAAAATTACCCAACAAGGTCACAAGACGCTGGGCTTCATCACCAGGACCTGTAGCGACTTCTCCAGTCCTCACACGCTGATCCATCTTTACGACCATCTTGTCCAACCTATACTAGAATATGGATCAGTTATCTGGTCTCCATATACCGATCTCCTGATCAATCGTGTTAATACGCCCAACCATCTTATGGCTGCTCACCTGATGAAATATCCCGATACTTCGAAATAAATAGCCTTAGCTCTCGTCGCCAAATTGCTGACCTAGCATTTTTCTTCAAAACAGTAAACGGCATTATCGATGCATCAGACATTAACAGTAGCTTTGAATTCGCAGACGTAAACGTTTACTCAAAACCTCACAGTCATCTAAAAACTATGTAGTTCACGGTCCTCATATTCACATCGCTACTCTCGTCAACTCCCATCACAATGACATAGACTTCTGTGGAGGATCATATAGCAATTTTATCACCACCCTGAAGAGCAAGCTACTCGACTATCACTAGCTTTTCATTCACTAATCTTGTTGCCTGCAATCATTCATTCTAAATCTCATGTCTATAAATGTACTATCCCTCTCAAGCTTATCATATTATAATAATTGATATGATATTATATTATAAATTGTGTATTAAACCTAAATTACTGGTATATTGCCGATAGGCGTTCGTTTAATAATAATAATAGTAATATATTTCAGTACTTACGTGTATTTTTAAACACAATAAGTACAATACAAACGAATTTATAAATTTGCGAAAATTGAAAATATACCACAATTATCCTTCAGTTAATCCATTTTAATCAAGGATTGTGTCGTTGTTGTTGTAACGGGTGCCCATTGCCCGATAAGATGGTAAGAACCAAATGAGTTGTCGTCGACGTAACCAACGGTAGGACCAGAAAACGCGATATTTTGGCGGACTTTAACCTGCTACAATATCTAAAACGAAGCTGCGCAAGGGCCACTCTCGTTCCTCGTGGCAACTCGAGCTCTACAACAGCAATGGTCAGCGACAGGTTGAGGCCCTTGCTGAGGTAGCTTACTCTCGTCGAGCCTAGATACTTAAGGAATTATTATATTAATTCCATCAGAGCCGATGGATTTGAACGATCTCTTGTTGATGGCACTCCGAACCTCCTCATCGGTGAAAGTAAGTGGTGCGCAGTCTTTCGGCATTTTACGCGGCCGTCAGGTAACACATCGTTTGTCTTTGTCTACCGAAGGGTGCAGTGTAATTTTACCTTCGTCAGCACGTCAATTCAAATTAGAATTAAGTAAAATTACAAAATAAAAATCGTATGTCCACCCGTGTGAAGCCGCGACGGGCTGCTAATTATATAATATATATCTTGATACGGCTACGTACTTTGACAGTTGTTGCGGTCATATGAGAAGTGAAAGAGCACAGACGAATGTTACATCTCAAATCTTACGATTATTACAGTCTAAAGCTTACTCACACCCTTGGAGAGGTTGAAGGACTTCAGGTGCTCTATCCATTTTGTCCCCTTGTGTTGGTTTAACATTTGCCGAATCTCCAAATTGAGATTTTCAGATTTTCAGATAGGTCCTCCTCTGCTTCCACCGGTTGGTAATCGGTCCAATACTTTCAGAGCTGCAGTATTTTCGGTCATTCGGACGACATGACCTAGCCAGGGCAGCTGCTGTCTTTTAATTAGCTGAACTATGTCAATGTCATAGAATAGTTTGTACAGTTCATCGTTCCATCGGATGCAATACTTGCCGTGGCCAATGCGCAAAGATAATAGATTTTCCGCAGAACCTTTATCCCAAAAACTCGTAACGTCGACTCATCAGATGTTGTCATCTCCAATGGCTCCAATATAATGAGTGACTTACAGAGCATGGTTTTTCTTCGTCGATAGATGGCTTTACTTCTTAATTTCCTACTCAGTCCGTGCTACTTCGGACTACTGTTTGTAAGAGATATTTTGCGTAGGATTTCGAGGCTGACATTGTTGTTGGTGTTAAAACTGGCTCCAAGATACACAAAATTATCTACGACTTCGAAGTTATGACTGTCAACAGTGACTCCCCCTGCGGGTAGGGGGGACCCCTCCAGTGCGGGGGAAACCGAATATACCCGCGGCAAGGCATGCCTGTCGTAAGAGGCGACTAAAATCCAAATGCACTATGTCTGACATTGCAGGTCTTTGTTTAAATGTCAACATGGGCTAAGTCAGAAAAGTGCTATAATGATATTATAGTTTTTATACAGTTTTTATATTAATTCCTAATATAAAGGCATTTGTTGTTCAAGCAACAAATGTCACCAGTCATGAGTGGGATTACTATGGACTCAAACTGGTAGTAGCCAAAAGTTACAAAAGTCATACCAAAGACTTAGACATGGTGCCACGGGGAGCAGTTAGCCCTTAGAGTAAACTCCAATCTGCTCATTGGGTTTGGCCCTTTGGGGATATTCGTGGTGGCTGTGGTTTAAACCTAAATGCAGGCAGGGCGTTTAGTCCAATGTGGAGTCGCATTGCGGTCGGGTGCTGGACCCAGAGTACGGCAGAGGTTTTAGGTCGGCCTCGAACCTGACCAAGGCGGCTTAGGGAGTCCCACCCTAACCAATTGGAACCAAAGTATAAGTGTATATGCCAGCACTCATGCTTTGGCTGATCAACGCATTGTTTGGATCTATGTGCTTCTAGCAATAGAAAGCACCGTGGGGTTAGGCCTTCGCAGGCAGGAACTCACGTTAAACCACAACGGACTCTGTCAACAGTGACGTGGGAGCCAAGTCGCGAAAGCGACGACTGTTGGTTTGATGGCAGGAGATATTTCATCTTGCCCTCAGACTGTTGTTGTTGTTGTAACAGCAGAATTCTGCCGAGTTGACAGTCCTTGGCCGGATAAAAATCCGGGTCCGTTCCGGTTTTCGTAGACCCGACTGTCGTGGGAACGGCTTCACTACCAGACTCATTTGTTTCGCTTCGTTATCCAGGCTGGAGAAAGCAGAACTAACGGCTTGGTTGTTGAGGACAATGAAATCAATATCATCGGCGTACGCCGGCAGCTACACACTCTTATAGTAGATGGTGCCTTATCTCTTTATTTTAGTTCTGCAGCTCGAATTTTTTTCTCGAAGAGTAGATTGAAGAAGTCGCACGATAGGGAGTCGTCTTGTCTAAAACCGCATTTGGTATCGAAGAACCTTATATGCTATGTTGGGAGGCCCATCTCCCGCCTCGTTGTTGTTCTTCAGACGCGTAATTCCTGTGGGACTATTAATTCATTTTCAGTGTGGGCGTTTTTGGCGTGGCGGGTCCCAAATCCAGCGCACAACCCTGTGAAGGTCTTGATCTAAGACCGCAAGTCGTAAGCTGATTGAAAAACAGGGTTAGATCGCTGAAATAAATCCGCCTCAATTCCGGTAACGTAGAACCGGCTTAGGTGGAAAACGGTACCTGGTAACTGGCAGCAACTATACTTATATATAGGTTCGCTAATGAGCTGAAAAAGGCTTTCATTAAAATTATTAATTTTATACTTGTGTACTTCTCATTGTTTTTTATTCTGAATTTGTCTTGATTTTATAGGCTCAATAACAAACATGTTGTCTTATTCATTTCGGCAAATTAAGTGTTAAATTAATTCTACACTTCACATTTAGGCATATTAATTTTTAAAATAAATGATTTGTAGCATAAGTTTGGCGTTTAACCATAATTAATTATACATTTCAAGTAATGTTCGTTTGATTTGATTGAAAACACAATCTTATGAACCAAAAAAAATTACATATAAAATTCTAAGTCCATTCATCTATCAGTCAATCTATGTAGCTCGCAAATCTGTTGTTGCTTGTTTATGTCGAGTAGTTCAATTGTATAAATTATATTATGATTAATATTAAATACAGATTCCGAAAGTATTTCCTCAATTTAATCATCTACAATGGAACAAACATACTGTGAAATATAGTCATATTCGTCTCTACCAGACGGTCTCGGCTGATTTTGTGGTTGACGCCAAGTGGATGCAGTTACGGCGTTGTTACCACCGACGATATTATTCGATGTAACATTTGAACTCCCATTTCCGCTTGCAATATTAGTAGTGTTACTAGTTTTGCCTGCGCTCGAGCTTAGACCAACAGAACCAGACTGGCTCTGACTGTTTGCATTGTTGCTGTTGCTCGCAGTGCTACCGCTATTCATTACATTGCCGCCGCAGCCATTATTACTGCCAGTACCGCTAATGACAGAATGTGACGTCATACTGCCGTTACCATTACCACCACTTGAACCGCCGACAGTACTGCAGGGCCCTGCATTATTTCCAGTACCAGAAGATATGGAGTTGTTTCCTCCGATAACAGTTCCGCCATTGTTTGAATTGTTGGTCCCATTACTACCGTTTCCTGTTACACTTGCTGCAGAGACAGAATTAGGCGTTTGAGGCAAATGCTGCAATATCTTTTGAACTTCGCTTTCACTCGGTGACTCGGCACAAATTGTAGTGCTACCAAAATCACAGTTATTTAATGACATTTGAGCTTTGTTTGCTTCCTCCCGTGTTGCATATTTACATAAGGCAATTCCTTGATTTAAAAATAAATGAAAATTAGCAAGTGGGCCATGCTGCATACATAAGGTACGTAAAGTGGAACCATCAATCTATAAAAGACAAAGAATATAGAGATATATCAAAACTATATTCGAAAGTATATACCTGGGTTGTCAAATTTTTTAGTAGTAACCATGTTGAGTTCCATCCTGCATTGGACGAGTTCCATCCTGAATTGCTGTTTGGTACTCCGCGACCTCCGGTCACTATCCATCCGTTGGCACCGCCTGTTACCACGGAGGAGGAGTTTGTAACAGATGGTACACCAGTTCCTGATACCCCTGCGCTCTTGCCAGAGCCCAAGCCCGGAGGTGGACCACGTGATGATTTGTTCATTGATGTTGCCCACAACTCCGACGGTGTACATTGTGGCGGACTATCAGACCAACTATATTTAATTAGTATATATGCACATATACATATATCACAACTATCTTAGTTCTATACTAGAATAAAAAAAAAATGAGGTTGTAACGAAAACGGTCGGTCAAGTCCCGCGATATGTGATGTCACCAAAATGTCGGCGGTGCCACGCCCATGTCCAATTTTCACTACGCCTGCCATAAAGCCCTCTCATACCATCTCGCAGGTAATACTGAATGTATCTGGTGTATTTAGTAATTGATTCATTACGCTTTTAGTTGTAGGTTTTTTAGTGGGCGGGGCCACGCCCAGTTTTACTTTTGGTCCCACAGGTGCCCTATTCTGTATCTCGATTCGTAAATGTATTTTATTCGAAATTCGGATCTACTTTATAATTTTTCGAAAGATGTACCACCCTGTGCCAGAATAAATACGTACAATTTTCGTTTTTGCTTTCTACAACTCAAAAGCTAACGAATATTTTATTCTAAAATTGGCTTAAAAATCGAGTTACGGAATATAAAAAATCCGAATTCGAGTAAATTTTTTTTCGAATCGAGTTACAGAATAGGCCCCCAGACGGGCGAACGGACAGACCGACAGACTAACGAACGAACCAACAGACAGTGGAACGGGCGAACATACAGACGGGCGTCCGTTCCTACGACAGTCGGGTCTACGTAACCCGAATTTTTATCCGGCCAAGGACTGTCAACTCGGCAGAGTTCTGCTGACAGACAACTTTTATCCTCTTCCTAATCATTTATATACTCATATGTAAGCATATATACAGTGGACCAATAAAGTTTACATACACCTAGTTCTATTAAATAACTACACGTTTGTTTGTTATTAAATGAACAAATTTTGTGGTTTTTTCCCATCCATTTCAAGATATGTACATTAAATATAGCATATTAAACTATTTTTTTTAACAATTAAAAAAAATTAGTGCTAAAGCTGAAAATGCGTTTAATTTACATCAAAAAATCTTACGTACACCAATGATTATTTATATAATTCAAAAGTAATTACATAAGTTTTAGCAGGCTTTAGTCTACATTTTGTTTCTATTATTGTCCCCAGACGTCGTCGTATGCTCCCCACCCAATTTCTGGTATTATTTCCGGACATTTTGACCCACTAAGACCATGATTCAGCTTATTTTGATGGAATTCAATGTTTTCGAATACGATTTTCCAAGAAGTTCCAGATGTTTTGAATATGATTAACGTATGGTGATTGCGGAACCTGTGGAGTTATTTTTAATTCCATAACAATCCTGCACGTACAAGATAAGACGGGTCGTTATCTTGTTATAAATAGAAGCGGTCCCTATTAACAGCCGATTTAAGCACACTTAAAATTTAACTTTTGTTCTTAAAATGCTCAGATACATATGCTTTTGCATTTTTTTACTTAAAAAATCTAAATGTTCAACTCCAGATGCAGCCACATACCCCCAAACCATAACACTACTCCTATTTTTTCCTTGCGACTCTTCATTGATCTTTTTCCACACTTTTCGAGATCTATTCGAACCAAATATATTAAATTCTGATTCGTCGGTGAACACAATGTTTTCCCAAATCCAATACAGTTTGTTAAAATATTGTTTAGCAACCGCCGACCTCATCTTTTTATTACTTATGTATGGCTTACGGCGAGCGATTCGTCTATGACAACTAGCAGTATTCCATACATTCCCTACTGTTTTTTTTTTTGTATACATTTCGAAAATGGATAAACATTTGTTTCTGATCCTTTTAACCAAATAATTTTAATTTTAAGAGTGCTTAAATAGGCTGTTAATAGCATTTCCAACAGGATACCGACCGGATACATATTGTATATTGTACGTGCAGGGTTTTTATGGAAATAAAAATAACTCTACATAGGTCCCGCAATCACCATACATTTATCGTATTCAAAATATCTGGGACTTTTTGGCAATTCGAAAACATCGAATTTCATCAAAATAGCGCCAAAACGCTGAATCATCGACTTAGTGAGTCAAATATCCGGAAATAATACTAGAAATTGTGTGGGGAGCATACATCGATGTCTAGGGACAATAATAACAACAAATTGTAGTCCAAAACTTGCTAAAACTATTGTAATTACTTTTGATTTATGTAAATAATCTCAATGTACGTAAACTTTTTTTATATGAATTATGACGATTTTAAGCCTTAGCATTAATTTTTTTTTTTTTCTCTAGATAAAAAAAAATATTATTATATCCTAAATTTAATAGAACTTGGTGTATGTAAACTTTATTGGTCCACTGTATATCCATCTCGCTTTGGCTTAGATGGTACATACAACCGTCAGGTGACCAAAGCTATTATCCTCTGTAGCAAAAGGTTTGAAGAGTATATTTTCACCTAAAATGAAAAATGACGTAACATTTTCGGAAATTTAGAGGGAAAAAATGAAGCACGTAATAAAATGAAACGAGTGAACCAAAACTTAAATATGGGTTAAAACTGGGTTATATCTTATAACATAATCTTAAAATGTTGCCCATACGTATATGTACGTAATTTGAAGTATTGGATCGCATTTTAGTGAACGATATACTATAAATCAATGCAAAAAAAAGTAAGCATAAAAGGAAGATCGTTGTTTTAATTTCGATTCGACAGTTTGCATGGCAGCTATACCTTGAAAATTCCTTCGGAGATCGTACTATTTCTAAACTTCGTGAAAATATCTCGTTAGAAGAACATGTATTTATTTCTTCAGTTTATATGCCAGCTCTAGTGGACCGACAAATGAGCGCCTTCTTGGGGACAAAAGGACGAGTCTAAAGTTACACATGCATATCTTAAAAACATAGGGCCTAATCTGAGTATGTACAGAGAAACGGGTATGATGGATTCTTTCCCGTCTGCGTGCTAGAAACTTTGTGGCAACATAATGTTCAGGGTATAAATAGATGTACAAAATAATTTTATAATATAATCTTATATAGATAAATGGTATATTGTAATGAAATTTTAATAACAAGTGTCAACAAGTGCGATATTATATATATAATATAAATATATAACTGTATTTATGGTATAATTAGAAAACATTCTTTAGACACGCGGTTTTTAAGATGCTCTACCTTTGAAAAGCTTGATTGTTGGACGATGGATTAAAGCTCCATGTAGACGACGATAAACTTAGCGGTGTTAAATCAGTCGGTGAACTTTTGCCAGGATTCGCAAATATGTCAGCTTCTTTTGGCGTCGAGTTAATAGACAGCGGAGATCTAGCTACGCTACCGGGAGTTATACTAGGATCGTCCTCTATACTTTTTATCTGTGAGCCCTTAAAAATTACGCAAAAATATTACAAGATTCCGAATTATTTATATTGTATGGCTCGAGTTACCTTCCATGGTTTTCCTGGTTCAAACTCTTGAACTAAATCAGTATACGTGGCAGCAGGTGTAGGCTGAGCAACAGACCAGTCTTTATTCTCATTTTCAGTGGATGAATCTGGCCATCCATCTCCAATATTTCGTCCAGTCGACCAAGTTCTAAATGTGACATGACCTACTCAATATGGAAAATATTTTATTATTTAAAATGCTTACCCATCGTTTTGCATACCCAACGGTCCCATAGCGCTGCCAGGTGCACCTGATAAATTTTGTTTTGTTGTTCCTGGAGCTCTTGAAAAATCTGTGCTATCTGATGTTAGATCTTTCTCAGGAAGCTTCCACTGATTAATAAGTTTTGACTGTGAGTTTGGACCTCCCGGATAGCCGCTATGCTGCATTTACACAAAAAAAATATAGAATAAAAACACAGAAGTTTTTGTGAAAAAATTAGCTAACCTTAGTTATGTTCATTTCCGAAAAATTTCCCTGTAACACACTTATGGCATCATGCTGCCTCATATATTCCATGTTAGAATTATTGGCATGTGCTGCAGCGTGTTGTTGCGTATTTTGTGGTATGGACTGCTGCTGCTTTTGTTTCAATATGAACGCTTGATGTGCGTTTATTTGATTTTGTAAATTTTGGATTTGCTGCTTATATTTGGCAATAGCATAACTTATTTGGGAGTTATTGGGGTTATTGCCACCCCGTGTTAAAGACTGCTGCGCCGCTTGAAGATGCTAAAAATCGTATAGTAAACACATTCTTAAACAAATGTATGAATATAAACTTACCTTAATATTTGTCAATAATTGATATAAAAGTACCAGCATTGAGGATGGTAAAGGTTCTGATAAGATTTGGCTAGATAAGTATCCACTGTGAACAGCTAGTTGAATTTGCTGCACAAGTACACGCAGCTGTTGAGCAGATGGTTGATTGTTACTACTTGAAGTTGAATTTACAGTCGTTGAGACATTAGCGACCCCTGGACCAAAAGTAACAGCAGTATTCATAGCTTGTGGAACATTAGTAACGTTATGTGGTACTGGATTCAAATACTTTTGCACTGGAAGTGATTGTATGGAATTGAGCGCTGCTATATTTGTGTTATTACCACTAACACCAGCACCGTTGCTGCTCATACTGTTCAACATATTCTACAAATAAATAACCACACAAACGTAAATATTAATATATACGAGTAAAAACAATAGATAGAAGAAATTTAATGCATATTATGACTTACCGGAGGGAAAGGCATATTAGACTGAGAGGCCGATGTGGGATAGCGTCCCGCAAAAGTGCCCCCAGTGTTTGTGTGATCACTATAAGAACCCAGGGATTCTTCGTGTCGTCTCCAATCTGTAGATATAGGAGCACGAAGTAAATCAGCAGCCTCCTCGATGTTCATATTGGTATTAATTAAGGCTCGTTCTACATCTTCCTTTTTAAAGCCATTTCCCACAAGAAGACGATACTGGTTACTCTGTTTTATCACATCTCTGTTCAAGTTACTAACATTAACACCACCTATTTTTTGCAGAGTTTTGCCAACAATGGCAGCATGAGTATTCCAGACAGATGGCAAGTCTGTACCATCGCTACCTCCACTTGCACCCCAACCAGAAGTACCACCTGATATTTTATTTTGGTTCTTACTCCAAGACGGTGGTGGATCGTTCCAAGAATTAGTTCCACCAACACTAACGCCTAGCTGTCCAATACCAGTAGTAGTTTTATCATCCATCCAATTAACGCCTGAATTTGGGCCCACATTATGATTGACTTCATCACCCCAAGAAGTGGTGTTACGTGAGCTTACATTTAAGTTAGTGGCATGGACCCACATAGAATTATCAGGTTTATGCTGATTAACACCAACACCAGGACCAACACCTGAACTAAGTCGTCCTTGCGGACCTACACTGCTTATAGGGTTGTTGGCACTACCGCCAACGACTGACGCATTTATTACGATTGGATTATTTCCCAATCCATTGCCAGAGCTATTACCCAGGCTACCGCCTGCATTCGTCGTGTTCTGATTGCCTACAGTGTTTCGTGTTAAATGCCTATTCAGTGGATCTGATATATCCTTCCAATGAGAACCACTCCCACCAGGTATACGTGACTGTTGTCCCCACAATGATGTCCCGTCGTCATAGTTTGGAATATTGCGGCGTTGCGGTGGTGGCGACGGTTCTTCCCACCCAGTAACTTTACCTGTCATTGATGTTATATCTTTTGGTCCAACCACCGCCGAAGAAGGTCCCCAGTGAGCGTTCACGTTGCCGCTTATACCAACAGGGTTTATGGCATTAATGTTACCAGGTCCGATGCCACCAGCTACACTTCCACCGGCAACAACAGCGCCGGTAGATACGGATGCGCCTACACCGGGCCCCACTATTTTATTCATTGCTGGTATTTGGTTGTGTGCAATGGAATGATGTTGACCCCACATTTCTGACGTGCCGTTTAAACGTCCTGAAATTCCCCGAGGATCTCCACGTATAGGATCCCGTGGATCTATCAGTCGCAAATCACGAGTTTCGGCTGCTGACGTACCACGCATTGGATCGCGGGGATCAACGCCTCGCATAGGTATAGTACTTGCTACTCCACCACTATTCACGTCACGAGAGTCTCCCCAATTACTTCCAGTAGAACCACTAGCCTGCGCTGTGTTCACATTTCCGGGCACATTTACACCAGGAACACCAGTGCCACCACTACCTAAAAATTACAAAAAAAAAACAGCAGTCAGAAGGGCATCTCATAATTTTATATTAAGACATACTAACCTACGGTAGATGTATTGCCAATGTTGGCAGAAACCGTTCCGGTGGTGTTGTTAGTTGATCCAACGACAATGCCAATAGCAGGTTGACCCCATTGGGGATTGTTCCCAGGTCCATTTGCACCTACAGCTGTCGCATTTATTCCAGTAACACCTACAGTGCCTGCATTTGAAGGATTATTCGCTGAACCAGTCCATACACTGCTACTTTCCGTACCATCATCATCTTCTCCCCATGTTCCACCTAGATTAGAGGAAGGTGTATGACCCCACGGAGTTTTTTGAACAGGTTGAATTGGTGGTTGCCCACCGTTGCGTAAATTCAACTCCCATAAATCAGTTCCATTATTAATAGTGGGTTTCCACATTGTGGGCCCAACAGATGGATCCTTATTAGTTGGCTCAGGTGAACTTGGCACTTCCCAGTTCGTATCCTGATTAACATGCTGACAACCCCAACCATCCTGAGAAAAAAGCGCTTCACGCATTGTATTTAATTGTTCTAACTGATTTTTAGCAGCTGCTGCTGATGTTCCACCACCAACTAATCCTACACCGCTAGTGCTATTACCAGCATTATTAATATTCGAGTTCGGACCAATTGCGCCAGAGGTACAGATTCCACTGCTATTTGGTTTACCGTTATTATTACTGTTATTGTTATTAGCTCCACCGTTATTACTGTTGCTTTGTGCAGGCTAAAATCAAAACCAAAACATTGCTTTTTGAAATAAAATAACACATCGTTCGTCAAATATAATTACAGAAAGAACGTCTGCTATGGTTACTTCAGGCCAATTTATCAATTTACACATATATGCTATAAATTCAATATTGCCAAATAAGCATCTAAATTAAAACAGAATTGGTGTTGTATGGATAAAACGTTATATCGAGGTATTAATCTGAGACGGTAAAGAAAAATAACTTTAATAAATCTCGGTATTTTTTCCTAAATGTTCGTTCAATATATTTTAGTACTTGCCTGTATTTTTAAACACAATAAGTACAATACAAACGAATTTATAAATTTGCGAAAGTTGAAACTTTACCACAATTGCCCTTCAGTTAATCCATTTTAATCAAGGATTGTTGCGCTGTTGTTGTAACGGGTACCCAATGCCCGATAAGATGGTAAGGACCAAATGAGTTGTCGTCGACGTAACCAACGGTAGGGCCAGGAAACTCGCTGTTTTGACGGGCCTTTACCTGCTACAGTATCTAAAACGAAGCTGCGCAAAGGCCACTCTCGTTCCTTGTGGCAACTCGGGCTCTACAACAGCAATGGGTGGTTGTTTGACTCCACGGAGGGAGTGTGGTGGCGCATGAATGGCGGGAGTAGCAAAGCCTTCAATCCAGTTAGCGTATTTCCAAGGTTTTGTATTGGGACCACTCCTCCGATTTTCCACATATCAGATATTTGAAGAGTGGTCAGCGACAGGTTGAGGACCTTGGTGAGGTAGCTTTCTGTCGTCGCGCCTAGATACTTAGGAATCATTATGTTAATTCCATCAGGGCCGATTTATTGGGACGATTTCTTGTTGATGGCGCGCCGAACCTCCTCATCGGTAAAGGTAAGTGGTGCGCAAGTCTTTCGGCATTTTACGCAGCCGTCGGGTAACACATCGTTTGTCTTTGTCTACCGAAGGGTGCAGTGTAATTTTACCTTCGTCAGCACGTCAATTCAAATTAGAATTAAGTAAAATTACAAAATAAAAATCGTATGTCCACCCGTGTGAAGCCGCGACGGGCTGCTAATTATATAATATATATCTTGATACGGCTACGTACTTTGACAGTTGTTGCGGTCATATGAGAAGTGAAAGAGCACAGACGAATGTTACATCTCAAATCTTAGGATTATTACAAGTCGGAATTTTACCTCAACGACTGCATTGTTATATAGTCTGTACTCTTTCTTTCTTTGTTTCTAGGTTAAGCCATGAACTATCTGGGCGTTTTTACGCTAAGTACTGTCGTGGTACAGCCCACTTTTCGGAAGCCATGCTGTTAGTGTACTAGGCTCTTGTGATGCGTGAAAGTTGCGAATAGCAAGGCCTCAAACTCAGTCATCATATCTCTTCGGATTAGCCAAATTGACAGCAGTCTAAAGCATACTCACACCAGTAGAGAGGTTGCAGTATTTCAGATGCTCTATCCATTTTGACGTCTGCGAATGGTAGGCACCTTGCCGTGGTGCAGAGGCTTAACTTTACGGCATCTCCCAACCTTCATGAGCGGTGCTGCATAACATCTCTCCTGAGGGTTGGCAGAAGATGCATGTGGTCGGCTACAACCTCCTAATTCAGGGTGTTATACGTCTCCCGTGTCCTTTAGACGATTTGCAGCCAGAAGGTTAATTCGACTAAATTCGAACGGAGCATTCCCAACACCGGACAGAATTGGGAAATAACGGTGGCCTTACCGCGTCATGGAGCTCTGGTGTGGCGGACCTGTAGTTCGCCTTTAAAAACGTAAGCCGACAGCTCACCGTGCGGAGCCAAGAGCTAATTGTCGTACGACCAACATGAGCGACAAGAACATAACGACAACAAATCAACAACACACAAGTCTACGGAACCAGATAACGACTACGGACGAAGAGATGAACAACACTACAAGCGTAGCAGTAGGTAGGGGTCCAGGAACAAAACAGAAGTTTCTTACAGATTGAGTGGGGCATTAAGAATTGCAACACACGGTTAAAATCTCTTTTAGAATACATGGTTAGTAGTAACTTAGCTATAGAAAATGTGAGTATGGAACCCACCCTTCGTCACAATAGGTAAGAGAGAGGTGCTTGACATCACCTTGAACAACTAGCCTGAGAATGGAATGGTCTCACTATGGAGGGTATAAGCCCCGCAACACAAACTGGGATATGCTAGGCAGGATTTGATTAGGGAGGAGACCAGCGTCTACCTGTAGTCGAACGCAAGCCATCTCCATCACATTTGGTAACCACAATGCAATTATTTACTGCAGACTCAAACAAGTGAGCTATGGCTTCGTTCGAGAAATTCAAGTCGCCGGGAGTGGACGGGCTCTTTCCAACACTTTTACAAGAGGGGGAGCAAGTTCTACTGCCATACCTTGTTCGGATGATGAGGGATAGCCTAAGCAATGGCGTACATAACTGAAATATATAGGACCGCGAAGGTTACCTTCATATCCAAGGTGAGAAGGAAGGACTAATCACTGGCTAAATCTTTTAGGCCAATTAGTCTAAGTTCCTTCTTACTTAGAAGTATGGAAAAGATTATAGATCATGGTCAAAGACCTGCTCAGGCCTTAAAACCCATAGGGAGTGGACCACGCGTTACGTGGCCCCTTGTTGCCTACGCAATACTGCGACGCTAGCCTCTACGGCTGTGTAACCAGCACATAGTTCGCGCGCTGCGCCGCCACCCACCTCGAGTGGCCAGCAGAGGACCTCCACGGTCCCCCGGAGCTCAACTAGGCAACATAGCTCCCAATCTGACTTGTCCCCCCCACCTTCATCCCGCTCCAATCCGTGTGTTCCGTGTGTCAGACCGCCATACGTCGGAACGTTACATCAGTCAAGTGCAACTCTTGTGCTGGCTGGTGTCACTTCCCGGCGTGTTCCAGCCTGCACACCACACGTGAGTGGATTGAGTCGTACGTTGCCCCATGCTGCAGGAGTTTGCCCCCGCAACACACTACAGTGGCGTCGCCAACAAACACCCTAGCTGCAATAACGTGGAGCTGGCGGAACAGATTGACGATTCGAAATTCTGCACAATGAATGACGAAGCCCCCACCAGAGTTGTGGGCACTTGTAGTAGCTCGCCCGATATTACAATCGCTAGTGGTGGTCTGATAAATTGCATAACCTGGCGACCTATGCTTACTCTCGCATCAGACCATCTACCCATAATTATCTCGATCGTGAAACCTGCCGATTTCGTTTCTGTCGACAACTGCACCTTCGTTAACTTCAACAAAGCTAACTGGGTCGGCTTCACAGAATTTACTGAGAGCACCTTCAACGCTCTACCCATTCCTACGGACGTATGCGTTGGCGAACSTSAATTCCGCAAGGTGATCGCAGCAGCTACCGCTCGCTTTATACCAGCTGGACGAATAGCGGGAATCCGCCCTAACTTCCCAGCCGAAGCAGCTGCTTTAGCTAATGAGCGCGACACCTTACGCCATGCCGATCCCGGAGATCCCCGAATAAGGGATCYCAATTTGGAGATTCGGCGTATGGTAAACCAGCATAAGCGGACGAAATGGATAGAGCACCTGAGCTCCTGCAACCTCTCCACCGGTGTGAGTAAGCTTTGGGCTACTGTCAAWGCTTTGTCSAACCCGAAGAGTCAYGASGACCGAGTTGAAGTTCAATTCAATGGTCATGCCTCTTCGGACCCGAAGAAGTGTGCGAGCTATTTTAGCCGGCAGTTTACACTGCACCCTTCGGTAGACCAAGCCAAACGATGTGTTAACCTACGGCTGCGCAAAATGCCAAACGACGGCGCGCCACTTACTTTCACCGATGAAGAGGTTCAGAGTGTCATCAACAAAGCAAAATCTTCCAAATCCATTGGCCCTGATGGAATCAACATGCTAATGCTAAAGCATCTAGTCTCGACGGGAGTAAAATATCTCACCAAGGTCCTCAGCCTTTTGCTAACCACTCTTCAAATACCCGATGTGTGGAAAGTCGGAAGAGTGGTCCCACTACTGAAAMCTGGGAAACCCGCCAACAAAGGGGAATCTTATCGCCCGATAAYTYTCCTCTCCCCAGTAGTGAAGACACTTGAAGCCTTGTTACTCCCGACCTTCACTCACCACCTGAGCCTAGCCAGCCACCAACATGGATTCCGTAAAATGCGCAGTACCACCACAGCACTTAGCGTCATAAACGCTCAGATAGTTCGTGGCCTCGTTGGACCTGTCAAAAGCTTTTGACACGGTCAATCACACAACGCTACTGCAGGACATTGAGAAAACCACGCTTCCTCCAGGGCTCAAGAAGTGGACCATGAACTATCTGAACGGTCGCCAATCATCCGTACTATTTCGAGGCGTAACATCTAAACTGAGAAGAATTAAACAGGGGGTTTCGCAAAGTGGTGTCCTCTCCCCGCTACTGATTAACTTTTACATCTCGAAACTCCCGCAGGGGGTTTCCATAACCTCGTACGCTGATTATTGTGCGATATTGACGTCGGGCAATGGAATCGATGGCATGTGTTCGAAGGTAAACAACTACCTCTCCGACCTTTCTCGTTTCCTCACTGCACAGAACCTCCAACTTTCCCCTACCAAATCCATAGCGACCATATTCACGAACTGGACGAAGGAGTATAGACTGGGGCTTAATATTGCAGTCGACGGCGTCAAAATTCCGACTGTCAATAACCCTAAGATTTTAGGTGTCACCTTCGACAGTCTATGCTCCTTCTCTCCACATACGACCGCGATTATCGCCAAAGTACAGAGCCGCAACAAAATTCTCAAGTCGCCAGCCGGCAGCACATGGGGAAAAGACACAGAAACGTTGTTGGCAACTTACAAGGCAATTGGCCGGCCGGTCCTCAACTATGCAGCACCCATATGGTCGCCTGGATGCAGTGGCACGCAGATGAGGAAACTACAGACCTGCCAGAATACAGCACTTCGGACCACGACGGGATGCTTCCTGATGTCTCCCATTGAGCACCTACATAGCGAG